TTCAGCTTTTAATGATAAAAAGAACGGCTATATAGTTTTTTTATGATTATTTACTTACGTTCGTCTATTTCAAGTTTCGAAATAAAAATGGTATCCTGATAAACAGGTTATTTCAAAAAAATTTATAATTAAGACTTTGACCGATCGAACACGATACCTATGAAATCATATGATTTATATATGAAATGACAAAATTTGTGCTACTATTAAACTTGTGTAACGATTGAGTTGTCCCCCCCGTAATTTTACTAACCCCTAGGTATAAGTAAATCTATTTTTTGATATTAATATAAGTTGCTCTTCAGGTAGAGATGATTTTAATGTAGTAAAATTTTCTTCAAAATTTTGCAAAATCATGTAAACAAAGGCAAATAGACGTTGCAAAACTTTATACTAATATCAAACCCAGTTCTGGAGCACTTTTTAATTATTATTCTAAATAAATACTATTTATTATAATTAGGGATGCAAATTCAACGCTTGTTTCGAAATAACGCACATAACGCGCAGGTGGAAGTTATTTCGCGCTTGCACGGTAATCTAAATCATCACTAGTGTTGGATTTTAAAACGATTTTTCTAAGCATATATTATATAATAGTAATTATTTGATATTGTTGAATTACAGTATAATTAATTAATCGTGAATCGATAAAATTTAATAATAATTTTCAATGGGATTTGAATAATTGCCGATGTTTATTACTTTTATTTTATTTTTTTTTGCATATAACATTAATGCTGTTTTTATGTAGTTCCCGGATAACTAATCTATTAAAAACGACAATCTCTGTAGATTCTAAAACAGTATTGGTGTCGTAATGCCATATTGCAGAATAGTCTGATTTAAACATCTTTCTTTTTTTGTAATGCGTTATCGTTATGAAATGAAGTTTAGAGTAACGGTCGGTAAAGAATTTTAAGTATTTAACGGTTAAAAGAAAATTGTGTAATAAACATATTAAGTACGTACTTGACATATGTGCCCTGATGTCAATCGGCCTAAGTTAGGATAGGGTTAGAATCTGGGAAGGATTTGGGCTTAATTTAGGTCAATCAATGTCGATCAGTTGACGTGGGCCAAAAAACATCCGACGCTCTGAGGCACAACATATATTTATATAAGATATATGCAAGGGACTGAATAAATAATTACACAGGGGTTTTTTTGACTTGGAATAATGATTTGGGCTTACTGTACATACTTCTTTCTTGGTAATATATCGGTTTAAAGAAAACTCAATAAGCATCCATTTTGAACAATTATTTTCTTTTGTTGAAACAAAACGAGTAAAGAATATCATTTATTTGCCTCAAAAGAACTTTAAACAGAAAAATCTTACAAAAAGATCAAGTAATCTTTTTTCTTTTCTACAGTATATAGCTGATAGAGATTAAAGCAGGATAATATAATGTCATAACGATTGTATGAGTTAAACTATTGAATTCAGAGTCTCCGAGTATTAAAAAAAAAAAAAAAAAAACATGGAAATTTGACGCGGAGGTTTTTGTACGTATCGGGGCTAAAATAAGCTGTGTAATGAGTTTTTATTTTTTTAATGTTGTGATCATCTCAAATGCATCTTTTGTGAGAGTATCATTTCAGGCGTATTACCAAAAAAAATAAAAAAAAAAACAAAAATAAAAAACTGTGAAATGACAAAATAACAGTCAAAGAATATTGCTAATCAAACATAAACTCGCAACTCATACGAAAATGATATATCGTACTGTATATTTGTTATTTTTTAGATGAATGAAAAAAGGATTTTATTCTTTTTGTTGTATATTGCTTAAAAGAAAATAATGGTTTTCCAGGAATCAAATGATGAGAATAGAAATTATAAGAAGACTTTTTTGCTTATCGTATTTTTTTTTAAAAAAAAATAAATACAGTACATATATGCACTATTTTTGCACACACAGGGAAAGTTAATTTCCTTGAAAGGAACACAAAGAAAAAAAGGCCAAAGAATTCTTTTTCATTAGTCTTGTTGATAATATAAGAATAAAAATAGTGTGATTTATAATCTTAATTATCCAAAACCCAACGATACAGCAATAGTCCATAGTTTTGCGGCAAGGTTATGGAGGAAGAAGAAGGGAGCAAGTGTTGATAGATAAAGTGATGGAAAAACATCAAATGCAAATGATTCAATAAATTGATGATAAAAGAGGTCATGATCCGCCGCATACATAAAAATAAAGCTTCATAATTTTTGCTTAACGAAAAGGTGATCCAGAAAGAATATCGGTCGGAAATTGAGGAGCTGTCCGATTCTCTGTTTCTTGTGCACAATCGAACAAGTCTGTAGTACCTTTAGTTAAAATTTCATATTTTTGTTCAGCAGTAAAAGATGAATTTAGAGGGATACCAGCGTTTTGAGGTATTAAAGGTTGAGGTTGGTTCATATTGGTAATTTTTAAAATTTTCATAAAGGTTTTCGTCTTTAGGAAGAAAGTGAGAAAGTGGGGATTTTATAATTTTATCGTTATCGTTATATATTTATTAATTTACACATAATTTGAATAAACTGAATGCGTTTTACATATTCAATATAAAAAAAAATGTTATAATATATTGGGACCCCATTCATAGCAATAATTAACTCTATGGGCGACATCTACTCCAAATAAGTTATAGATGAAAATTTTTTTTATTGAATGTATGAAAATGCATTCAGTTATACTCGTGAACAATCTTGTGATTTCATCAAAGTCGACAACTGTCGGATAATTATGTGAGCTAAGCTATTAAAGTAATTTTTTAATATCCGAATTTAACTGTATCAATAAAAAAAAAAAAAAACTCTATTGTAAAAGTTTACACGGTATATCGATATGATTATTTGAAGTCTATGTGTATACCGGATATAGTGGTATTGATTTGAGGGCAACCTAAAACAGAATAGTCAGCTTGAACGTAATTTTTTTTTTCATTTGTAACGCGCGTTATTAAATGAAAGATTATCATTCGATTCTTCTTAACGATAATGCTTTTTTTCTATAAATTTTTAATGATTATCATTTAATAGTTTTTTGAGCAACAGTAATGCCTTAAATGAGGATGCCCTGTGACCTTTAACTCACTGAATAAATTATATATACAGTATAACTATAGACAAGGTCTTGTAAATTTTTCTCTTTTAGTTATATAAGGAATTTTCAATAGTGGTGTGACTATGCAATAATTAATAACACCTGATGAATTTTTCAACAATCGTTGAAAACTTTTATTAGCATTATTTGGCTGTTCCATCAATTTTAGCCTAAACATAAAAAAGTATATATATTGATTAATCAAGAAATTAAAATATATACTGATATTTGCTACGTATCACGATAATACGTATTCCCAATTCGCGTTAATGTTAATTTAACATGTGAGCATAAATAATATTTATTAATATGTGTAATTTAAAAAATTTGCAAGATTATTTGTTATTGAATAATAAATGCCAATTTCATTCATATCGATTAATGTTCTTTTAATCTACATTATTCACATTAATCTTTTAATTTATGTTGTGGGTGGATAGGGAATATCTATATATTCGGGATTTAATTTGATGTAATAAAAATATTCTGAGCCGTTGGGTAATGGCGAAAACGAAGCTTCCGCTTATACACTACTATACGGTTCAGAGTAATTGATTAATACTGTTAGTGATCTGGGTATTATCATGTAATACAGTAATACAGAAATAATTAAATCCTCAAAAATGTAAACAGGAAGGAAAGATCGAGAAAAATTTAAATGTTATAATAAAAATCTTTATTTTACCAACTTCTATATCTTATAATTATTTTACAAACTTGGTTAGGGCGTCGTCAATCAAAATGTGTCGTCATAGTGAGATTAAAAAAATTTATATGTATAATTAATTGTAACTTGTTATTTGTAACAACTTAGTGTAATAAATTATGTTGGACATTAACAACTTAGTACGTATAATATGGACATTAACAAAGATAGATAGTATTCAACGATACGTACCTCATGTTACAACTAATTTTTTTATTAACAATTTTTTAATCTCACTATGACACGTTTTGATTGACGATGCCCTATTAGTTCGCATCACTTTACTTGTTTCAATAAAAAAAAAAAAACAATTATTATACAGTATATATTGTATTTTTTTAGGTGAGATCGTCCAAAGCGGAGTTCAGTTTTAAGTCACCTTTTTGGGAATTGGTAAAAAAATGAGAGTAATAGAAAATGTGTAATTGTTTTTACTATGTAACATATTTTTCATAGATGTCTTTTTTGTGTATTGTGTCGCTTGCAATTTTATTTTTTTTTAAATGATTTATACAATTTTGATAATCCTTACATGAAAGATACAGTACATAATTTGTTCAATGCGTCTCGAATATCTTTTTACAAAGAGATAATCCCTTCATGAAAGATATACAATCAGTTTCATTATTTTTTAATGCGAAAAGATGATCATTTTAAATGTATAAAATCTAAAAATTTGTATCTTTTGTAAAAGGACCATTTTTTCAGACGTACGTATTACAAAAAAATTGCGAAAGAGCAAATCACATTTCCAAATAGGAGCAAAGAGTATCACTTATATAACACACTTATCAGTTATAGATTTTTACCTCCCTAAATGCAAGTTTTTTTGGCCGTTCCTCGGCTATGCATATAGAGAGGTCTGACTATAATAATATTTTTTTTTTAGGATAAATAAAGAATGATCTTTTTATTTTTTTTGTATGTATGTAATGTATCGATATAGTAATATAAATCACCACTAACATTGCAATTTAAATTGTACTTAACTGTAATTAGTAATAATAATATCCTGATCCGTTGGGTATTAGCGGGGCTGAAAGACCCGCTAATTCACATACTAATACGGTCAGGGTATTATTAATTAATACTCCCGTGATCTTGAATAGTGATCGGGGTATTATATCTTTAATTTCATTAAATAAAGTATATATTAATTAATTACTGTAATCGTTATAAAATTACAAACCATTTAAATAAATTACTGAAATATTAACTTTGTTTGTCACCTTTTTTTTTTTGCATATAATGCTATAGTGGTTCTATATAATCTGAATGAAGTCTTTCTTAAAATGATATCATTAACGCTATCTTCACAATTTTGGACATCAATCTCGATCTGTTTTTGTTCGTTAAAAAAATCCATATAGATTCTAAAATAAGGTATAATACCAAATTTATCGCTTAAACTTTTACATTATCAACCTATTTCTTATGTTCAATAGACTCATATATAGGATATGGTGTCATAACTCAGGTCTAAGAGAGCGAAAACTAACCCAAAATTGAAAAAAGGTATTTATTAGATTATGAAGATTTTGGAAAATGGCTTGCATAATGTCTATGGGATTATATTTATATTTTCTGGCAAAACTTAATCCCATTTATAAATATATATACTGTATATACTGTATATTGCTAATATATGGGGGTCTTTGCCTTGAAATAGGGTTTCGGGTCCCTCAAACCAAAAATGAGATTTTTGTCAAATATTAATTTACAAAGCTCATTTTTGTATAAATTTTACAGTTAATAATATTAAAATGAGTTATTGAAGCTCGGATCTTTGAGTCGGAAAATTTTTAGATCTAAAAATAGAACAGAAACAGTGGATAAATATATAATATTTATCTACATCGTAATCTGTGAAAATTAGCAGCAAATCAATTTTGGTTACACAGCCTTTAATTACTGTTTCCTCAAAAAAAATTTTTATTGTTGCAAATTTTAAGGCAAAAACCTTTACCGGTGTGTCAAAAGTCTTTGTATATGGTTTTTTTTTTTTATACACAGTATTTAAAAATTATACAGTATATAAAAACTATACAGTATATAAAAATTATACAGTATATAAAAATTATACAATATATAAAAATTATACAGTATATATATAAAAATTATACAATATATATAAATTATACAGTATATAAAAATCACTTACTAAAACGCACCTATGGTGTTTCACCATCTAGATCCCTATTTCTCAAAAACGTACTAAGTAAACGGGATCGGGTACTCTAAGTAAAAATGTTCAGGACCCCCAAAAACCTCTCGAAAACCTAGATCGTGTCTTATATTAGCTCTATATTATATTATACAGTATATATAAAAAAATAATAATTCTTAATACCCGAACCCTAACTCTAAATTTTATTAAATACAATTATATATGGTGCTAAAACACCATAGGTGCGTTTTATAATAATTGATAAAAATTATACATTATATAAAAATTATACAGTAATTTATTTAAATTTATTTTTAAATACTATATATATACAAGAACTTTTAATATACTTGTTATACTGTATATAGTATATACAGTATATATTTTTTAACTTTAGGTAGTTTCACTAGTGTTTTATTAAGATTCTAAGTCTATTATTAAATTAATATACCCATTTACTTCTAATTTACAAACCTGATATTATTTGGCTATTATATATTAAGATGCCTAAGTGCAACCTACTAAACTAATCTGAAGTTTAAGATTAGAGGTTTATATTAAACTAGCCTAACCACATTATAATAGCTTTTTCTTTTATATTTTTAACTAACAAAAAATTTGCTAAAAGCAAAATAAGGAGAGAAAATTTTAAAAAAAATAAAATAAAATAAAAATAAAAGATACAAAAAAGAAAAAAATAATTAAAAAAAAATAAGTAAAAAAATAAAAAAGAAAAAAAAAACAAGAAGATTAGTCTAATATAAAAAAAAAACTAATTAAAGAAACTAAAAAATTAAAAAGACTTAACTAAGAAAATAGAGTTTAAAAAAATATACTATTATAACCCATATTAACTTAAAAAAATTATATAACAAATACAATATTTATATTAATATAAAGCTTTATCTTAATATATATTTTTCTTTTTAACTATATAATCACATTTAAATATTTTTTTAACTAAAAACTCAAATTCAAGTCATATAAAATAGTATCATGTTTATAGATAAACAAAACAGTTCAGTATTAGTAGTAATGTAATCTATTAATTTACAATCTGCATATCTATTTAAAATCTGCAATCCATATTTTTCTATACAATCTGTTTATATTTTGCCACCATGTAAATTGATGATTATTATTTTATTTGTTTATTACAGTATTATATTAATATGTGATAGCACAATATCTTTATATTACTTTATTAAATATCAGAAAAATAAAATCAATTTACACCACTGTTTTATCTTAATTATTTTAAAAAAATATCTGCTTATAATAAGGAAGATGCTGAAGTATCAACTAAATCTAATAACAATTCTAATAAAAAGACAAAACCTGTGGTGATAGTAATGTTAGAAGTTGGATTTGGTTGTACTTTGATCATGTATTTGTTGAAGGTGTAGTTTGTAAAGTTGAGGTGGTAAAAGAGAAAAAGTA